CCTCTGTTGCTCCCCGGGGTTCCTCTCTTGCGGGAGGGGCTTGGCACCTCCTTCCTCCAGCCCTCCCTCCTCTCCTCCTGCTGGGTCCCTCCGCCCCGTCCCTTGAGCCTCCAGCTCGCTTTCTTTCTTTTTTTTTTTTTCTTTTCGGTTTGCGGGCCTCTCACTGTTGTGGCCTCTCCCTTTGCGGAGCAGGGCTCTGGATGCGCAGGATCAGCGGCCATGGCTCACGGGCCCAGCCGCTCCGCGGCATGTGGGATCTTCCCGGACCGGGGCACGAACCCGCGTCCCCTGCATCGGCAGGCGGACTCTCAACCACTGCGCCACCAGGGAAGCCCCGGCTCCCTTTCTTATGAGGGGCCGTTTAGTTCTCTCCTGTTTTCCTCAGTCCTAGCCTCACTCCTCGCAGACATTGTGGAGCAGAGACAAGCCAGCCCTGGGCTCTGCGTGAAGTCCTGACCCACGGCGTCCCTGAGCGAGGTGAATGGCTGTGCTTTATGTCAGTGCATTTCAGAGTGGTTCGCTGTGCACCTGAAAACAGGAACACACATGGAAAGTGGCTGGAACAGCATGTGGCCCATAACAAAAGCCCTAAGTGTTAGCTCTTACATGCCTGTTATTATTGGTGAGGCGAGATTATTTGCAGGGATGCCTGGACAGGAGGGGGCAGGAGAAGCCCGCTCAGGGGTTACTCAGTCTCACCTGAACCTCCCCAAAGGGCTCTGATGGGCCCAGTGCCATCCAGTATTGACACCACTGTTGGATGGCCTTTGGGGCCGCCTACCTCACGGGCTGTTTTGCCTTCAGGTCCGCCTGTCCCTTTCAGCCTGGGTGATGGGCCAGGGGCATCTAGACCTGGGCACACTCCCGGCCCTTGCCCTGCGCCCTCAGCCTGGCATGCAGGGCTGCTCAGGGGCCAGGAGATGGCCTCACCCCCAGGGACAGGGCTGCCAGAGCAAATACAGGACGCCCAGTTACACTGGAATTTCAGATGAAGAGCAAATAACATTGCACTTGGGGACATGTTTATACTAAGCAATCATTCCTCAGTTACAAAATCTGGAAATCTGAGACTGGGGTCCCCGGCAGCCCCACAGCTGGGCCTGTTCTGGGGGCCAGGCAGCCCTGAGCTCTTCATCCACTAGGTCACACATCCCGGCACACTTGTGAGGCGGATGCTTCAGGGGAAGAGGCCGAGGCCTGGAGACAGGCAAAGCTGCCCAAGACCCCAGCCTCCAGGGGCAGGGACACAATTTGCACGGAGGATGCCGGAGCCGAGTCATCATGGATCCCACCACCCCTGGGGGACAACGACAGCTTGAGAAGGGGGGCAGTGAGTGTGGAATGGAGATGACCGTCAACTCTGCCCCTCTCCATGTGGCAGGGCACTTCCCCTCTCTAGGGCACCTTCCCCAGCTGCGAAGAACACGTCCACTCATATTTTAGGAGTCGGAACTCCGTATAGATTCAATCGAAAGAAAAGACTTAGGCTCTTAAAATTCTTTGAAAGCGACTTGCTTAGATAATAATAAATGAGTGGGTACACATACGAGTGCAATAAAGCTCCGCATGTTGAGGCCACCACGTGCAGGGGCTGCTGCCAGCACAGGTGTGGGGTGTGGGGTCCTCCCCAGGAGAGGATGGGCCAGGGCACCGGGGCTGTGGAGGAAGGATGGAGCGAGGCAGAACTGGAGGGAATGAAGTCACAGTGGGCTGGTGTGACGACACCCACCGCAGACCAGGACTGCGAAGCTGAGCAGGATCCCGTTTCCTGGGGAACTGCAGAGTTCAAGTATTAATACGCGTGGGACATTGGTGTGGGTGCTTCCGTATGCTTTTCTATCTTCTTCTCTGAGAGTTTCAGAGGAGGACTGTATTCTCATCCAGCAGGAACCATTTATAAGGTCAGCTGAGAGTTTCCCCGCTTTCCAGCACTCCACTTTCCAGCACCTGTCACACACCTAACATTCCTTCCAGCAGCCCTGGGGAATACAACGGCATGATTGTCAGAGGAAAACCAGAGAACAAAGATGAACGTGGTGGTGCTAACACTAGAATCGAGCCAGCATGTCCCAGATCAGTGGCTGCCTGGGGACAGAGGTGGGGACAGGGTGGGGGGGTGGCAAGGGGGCAGGAGGAAGCCTTTCAGGAAGAGGAAGGATAGGGTTACCATCTTAGTCAGCGTCATAGTTTCTCAGGTGTATGCAATTGTCAAAACTGATCAGATGGTGCACTTGAACACGAAGCTTGTCGTGTGTCAATCACACCTGCATAAAGCTGTCAAGAAAAAAGAAACTTCCAACAGCTGTCATCTCACCGCAAATCAAAGGCAGTGTGTTTACAAGGACCCGCAGCCCCTGGCCTCTCCCGTTCCCCTCCTCGCCCTTCGCTGTTCACCAGACTCTGGCCACAGGAGCCTGCTCTCTGTTGCGCTGGCACACAGCCTCTTGTGGCACCTGGGGGCCTTCGCAGGTGCAGCTCCTGAGCGCTGTTTCCCAGCTGTCCTGCGGTTCTCTCCTTCTTACCGTGTGGGTCTGGAGCACGACGTCCTCCTCCCAGACCTTGTTTGCCACCTTGTCATCCTGTGTATTTTCTTCCTGTGCTTCACATCTCTTACTGATTTGCATCTTTGCTTATTGTCTGTCTGGCTCCTTGAGTTCTGGGGCCGTGTCTGTCTTCTCCCCGCTCTGTCCCAGGGGGAGTGGGCCCCTTGCCAGGTGGAACATTCTTCCTCTCAGGGCCAGTCTCACTCAGGACTGGCCCTTCCTCAGTCCCTGTAAGTAAGTACCTACGTGTCTAGGTACTGTTCTAGTCCCCAAAGAGTGAAGAAAGCAAAAAAAAAAAACCCTTGTTGGGCTTCCCTGGTGGTGCAGTGGTTGAGAGTCCGCCTGCCGATGCAGGGCACACGGGTTCGTGACCCGGTCCGGGAAGATCCCACATGCCGCGGAGCGGCTGGGCCCGTGAGCCATGGCCGCTGGGCCTGCGCGTCCGGAGCCTGTGCTCCACAACGGGAGAGGCCACAACAGTGAGAGGCCTGCATACAGAAAAAAAAAAAAAAAAAAACAACCCTTGTCTACAGCCTTTATTTAGTGTCTGGTGCGGGGCAGGGGGTGGAGGTGGGGTGGAGACAAAAATCAAGTGAAAATGTACAAGACAGAGGACATCAGGCAGTGACACGAGTCATGGAGAGAAACCCAGCAGGCGCCCCTGGAGAGCAGCAATTATACTGGTTCCCACAGACACAGACTTCTCCAGCTCCCGCCCCCATCTCCACTGAGCAGCCCCTAGTCTCACTGTGCCTCAGTTTCATCCTCTGTGAAATGGGGTAGAATTGCAGTGCTTCCCTCCCTCACCAGTTGTGAACAGGGTGGAAGGAAGTACAACCATCTGCTGCTTGCAGTGATTCCCTCTTCCGTTTTTCCCCCCTCAACCACTGGGGTTTCAAAGAAAATTAGGGGACTTCCCTGGTGGCGCAGTGGTTAAGGATCCACCTGCCAATGCAGGGGACATGGGATCGAGCCCTGGTCTAGGAAGATCCCACATGCCATGGAGCAACTAAGCCCATGCGCCACAACCACTGAGCCTGCGCTCTAGAGCCCGTGAGCCACAACTACTGAGCCCACGTGCCACAACTACTGAAGCCCGCATGCCTAGAGCCCGTGCTCCACAGAAAGAGAAGCCACCGCAATGAGAAGCCCGCGCACTGCAACGAAGAGTAGCCCCCGCTCGCTGCAACTAGAGAAAAGACTGCGCGCAGCAACGAAGACCCAATGCAGCGAAAAATAAATAAATTAAAAAAAAAAAAAAAAAGAAAATTAAATACCAACGTTTAAAAGAGAGTGGTTTCGACTTAAACCAGGACTTTTGTGATTACGGAAAATCTAGGCAATGCCATCCCCTGCCTATACCATTGTCGACGAAAAATCAATCAGTTGATCTAAGGAAGAAATGGAAAATTTTATTCGAGCCAAATTTGAGGATTATAACCCAGGAACACCATCTCAGTAAAGCTCCAAGGACTGTTCTGCCATTAGAAGTCAAGTCACAGTTATACAGGTTTTTTGAGACAGAGGGCTGGACATCAAATGACATATTATTGACAGTTTAAACAATCTAGATCTAAGCTCATCCTGGCCCCTTACAAGATCAGGAAGGAACCTTATCTTTTTTTAAAAATAGATTTTAGGGCTTCCCTGGTGGCGCAGCGGTTGAGAATCTGCCTGCCAGTGCAGGGGACACGGGTTTGACCCCTGGTTTGGGAGGATCCCACATGCCGCGGAGCAACTAGGCCAGTGAGCCACAACTACCGAGCCCGCGCGTCTGGAGCCTGTGCTCCGCAACAAGAGAGGCCGCGATAGTGAGAGGCCTGCACACTGCGATGAAGAGTGGTCCCAGCTTGCCACAACTAGAGATGAGCCCTTGCACAGAAACGAAGACCCAACACAGCAAAAATTAATTAATTAATTAATAAACTCCTACCCCCAACATCTTTAACAACAAAAAAAAAGATTTTAAAATATTTATTTATTTATTTAGGCTGTGTCGGGTCTTTGTTGTGGCATGAGGACTCTTAGTTGAGGCATGTGGGATCTAGTTCCCTGACCACGGATGGAACGGGAGCCCCCTGCACTGGGAGCGCAGAGTCTTACCCACTGGACCACCACGGAAATCCCGGAACCCTATCTTTTAAGCAGCTGTCGTGGATGCCAGGAGAATGCTGCTCTTTGTGGTTAGGCAGGCGTTTCTGCCGATGGGGAGGTTTGATCGATGCGTAAATGCAGATACAGATGCACAGCGGGGCGAGAGCAGGCCAAAGGGCAGAGAAAATTTTTATGTTTAAAATTTTCTTGTCTTGCCATAAAACATGAATTTTATTTCACACCACCTTGAAGAGCTGGGATGAAGTGTCACCCATTTCCTGGAGCGGGAGGTGGAGGCCTCCGGGCCGGGGGCGGGACGCGCAGACTCCGCCTGTGCTGTGAGCCTCCGGGCCGCAGGAGGCAGCAGCGGGCGGGGCGGATACAGTGTATCGAGGGCGGCGGTGGATACGATGTAACGAGGCCGGCCGGCCGCACACAATGTAGCGAGGGCTGCGGCGGTCAGGTGAGCGGCGGGGCGGAGCGGGCGCGGGCGGGGGTCCGGGTGGAGGAGACGGGGACGCTCGGGCCGCCGCGACCCGGAGCTCGGAGAGCCCCCTCTCCCGACGCGGACCCCGCGGCGCAGGGGGCGAGGGACCCGCCCGAGGCCCCGGCCCGGGCGCAGAGCAGGATTCAGACCCGCGGGTCCTCACCTGGGGGCAGAGGGATTTGGAGACCTCAGCCGCGCCACCCACACGAGCAGGGTTCAGCGGGGAAGGCGTCCCCCGGCAGATGACGCTGTCACTGCTTCCGGCCGTCGACACTCTCTGTCTGTAGGATCCGTGAGGCCCGAGGGGTCGCCGTGGCTGTGCCGCCCTGCGCTGGGGCTGGACCACTCTGAGCCTCAGTTTGCTCATCTATGAAACGGGCGGAAGTGGTAGAAGAGACCTGCCCCTGTGCGGAGCCAGTTAGCGAGGGTCCCCAGAGTGTATGTTGTTGTTGTTGTTGTTGTTGTGGGTGAAGGTGGGGGAGGCCCGTTTGGGGGCGGCGTCTCCCAGACGCCGGGGTGGCTGCCGCTAAGCTTCAGGCGCAGACAGCCCTTCAAGGGACAGTAACTGTGCCCCTGCGGGGCCCTGGCAGGCCTCCTTCCAGGTGTGAGCAGTTAGGATGTACCTTCGGCCCTGCGCCCTCCGGGGAGAAGTGCAGGGGCCTCTGGTGGCAGCCGGGGTGATAACAGGTCCTCTTGGTGGCCGTGCCTCCCCGACAACAGGAGAGGCTGTTTCGGGCACATCTGAGCTTCAGCCCCATGTTCCTCGGGGCCCTGAGACGTCTTGGGCTTTGTTCTGAGCTTTCCTTTCATTGCAAAGACGTGGAGTCCGCAGCCCCCGTGAGAGGAGGTCTCTGGAGGAGGGTAGACAGTGCAGTAGCGGGTTTCCTGCATGCCTCTCAGTGCCCACCTTCCTGCGTGCTCCTCTCTGAGGCCAAGCCTGAATTCCGGGTGCAGAGCTCTCTGGGAGGTGAACCTGGTGGGGTGGTGAGGGTTGCTGTCACTTTCCTCAAAGTCAGCTGCCGCGCACTACATCTGCCAGGCAGGCCCCTGTGTCGGGACATCATCTGTCTGCCCTCGGCAGCTCCCCTCCCACACCCCCAAATACGATCCTCCAACTTGGCCGGAGAGAAACTGGGGCTGAGAGAAGTCAGGTGACCCCACTCATTCACTCACCTGCAGCCTCTCTGCCAGGCTTGAGACTGGCACTGCCCATAAGGGGGTTAATGAGAGATGCTTTTTCCAGAGCCTGTAGCCCAAGGAGGGCTGCTGGAAAGAGTGGAGGTGTTCCTGCCTTTGAGCTCCTCCGGCCATATTTTATTTTATTTATTTATTTTTCTAGGTAGGGCCTGAGAACCTGTGCTTTTTATTTATTTATTTTTTAAATTGAAGTACAGTTGATTTACAACGTTCTTTTAGTTTCTGGTGTACAGCAAAGTGATTCAGTTAAATATATAGATATAGATAGATATATTCTGCTTCATATTCTTTTCCATTATGGTTTATTACAGGATGTGGAATCTAGTTCCCTGTGCTATACAGTAGGACCTTGTTGTTTATCCATTCTATATGTAATAGTTTGCACCTGCTAACCCCAAACGCCCCATCCAACCCCCGACTCCTTCCCCCTTGGCAACCACAAGTCTGTTCTCTATGTGAGTCTGTTTCTGTTTCATAGATAAGTTCATTTGTGTCATATTTTAGATTCCACATATAAGTGATATCATATGGTATTTGTCTTTCTCTTTCTGACTTATTTCACTTAGTATGATAATCTCTAGGTCCATCCATGTTGCTACAAATGGCATTATTTCATTCTTTTTTTTTTTGAGATTTAAAAGTGATTTCTTTATTTCCAGTTCCTACTGATTTCATTTCTCACATACACTCTTTAAGAAATAAAGGACGAAGTAGGAAATTAAAGTACATTAATAAAGACACAGCAGTGTTTACAACACACACCCATGTCATCACATCCTCTTGTTAAGTGCTGTATGTTTCCCATGCTCAGGCCTCACTGGACAAATTCCGTTTGAGTCGAAAACAGTAAACTGTCACCCTGTGGTCCAATAGATGGGTGAAAAAAAATACTTTTGCAATTCCCTGGGGACAGGACAGGGTTATACACTGGTTGAGCCACAGCATCCAGGCTGCACAGGTAAAGAGAGAAAGGGTGGGGTTGGGTGGGATGCCAGAAACCAGAGAGGTGAGGTGAAGGGATTACAGGAAATACCTCCTGAGGGAGGGAGTCTCCACTTTCAGACTTTTTAATTGGCGTAAAATTGCTTTACAATGTTGTGCTAGTTTTTGCTGTACAATGATGTGAATCAGCTATATGTATACCTATATCCCCTCCCTCTCGGACCTCCCTTCCACCTCCCCCCTGCATCCTACCCATGTAGGTCATCACAGAGCATCAAACTGAGCTCCCTGTGCTCCCTGCAGGTTCCCACTAGCTATCTGTTTTACACACGGTAGTGTGTTTATGTCAAACCTAATCTCCCAATTCATCCTACCATTCCCTTCCCCTCCCCGTGTCCACACATCCATTCTGTATGTCTGCATCTCTATTCCTGCCCTACAAATAGGTTCATCTATACCATTTTTCTAGATTCCACATACATGCGTTAATATACAATATTTGTTTTTCTCTTTCTGGCTTACTTTGCTCTGTATGACAGACTCTAGGTCCATCCACATCTCTACAAATGACCCAATTTCACTCCTTTTTATGGCTGAGTAATATTCCATTACATATATGTACCACATCTTCTTTATCCATTCATCTGTCAGTGGACATTTAGGTTGTTTCCGTGTGTTGGCTTCCGGGCATAGTGCCGCTGTGAACATAGGGATGCATGTATCTTTTTTGTGTGTGTGTGTGCTACGCGGGCCTCTCACCGCTGTGGCCTCTCCCTTTGCGGAGCACAGGCTCTGGACGCGCAGGCCCAGCGGCCATGGCTCACGGGCCCAGCCGCTCTGCGGCACGCGGGATCCCCCCAGACCGGGGCACGAACCCGCGTCCCCTGCGTCGGCAGGCGGACTCCCAACCACTGCGTCACCAGGGAAGCCGGCATGTATCTTTTTGAATTATGGTTTCCTCCAGATATATGCCCAGGAGTGGGATTGCAGGATCATATGGCAACTCTATTTCTAGTTTTTTGAGGAACCTTCATATTGTTCACCATAGTGCCTCTGGCCATCTTTTTTTTTTTTTTTTTTTTTTTTGCGGTACGCCGGCCTCTCCCTGTTTTGGCCTCTCCCACCGCGGAGCACAGGCTCCGGACGCGCAGGCCCAGAGGCCATGGCTCATGGGCCCAGCCGCTCCGCGGCACGCGCGATCCCCCCAGACCGGGGCATGAACCCGTGCCCCCCGCATCGGCAGGCGGACCCCCAACCACTGCGCCACCAGGGAAGCCCGCCTCTGGCCATCTTTTAAAACGCTGGGCGGTTTCTGGGGTGAGACCCCAGGGGTGGCTTCTGATCCTCCAGTCTCTTGGGGGTGGGCTGATCATCAAGTGATGTCAGAGACAGTTTGCTCTGCAGCGACTGTGGGTTACAGGCTTTACTGTCACGCACAAGTGCTTAATCCTCACCCCGCTCCCACCCCGCCCCAGGAGGCAGGCATGCTCCCTTATTTATGGGCAAGAAAATGCTCTTCACTGGGGAAGGCAGCATTACATCAGGCCTGTCTGATTCTTAATAGTAACAGTGATAACGATAAGTTGCAGCTGGTGTTTATTTCTGGCCAAGGTAGTCAGAACTTTGTATTGACTAATTTAATCTTGAACTCTACACAGTGGGTACTGTTATCATCCCCACTTGAAACATGAGAACTCAAAAGCACAGAAAGCCTTAGGCATTTGCCCAAGGTCACACAGCTGGAGCTGACAGCTGGGATTTGAATAGGGCCAATTTGTCTGCTGACCACAAGGCTGTTAGGGTGATCAGTCAGGATCTGTGTTGGCTGCAAGAGACAGAACTCCTCCCAGTAACAGTAGTTTAAACAGAAGTTTCTTTCTGTCTCACCTGAATGAAGCCTGGCAGTGAGCAACTCAGGGCTTCCTCATCACTCCAGAAGAAGAGGTTAGTGAATATGGATCTCACTTGTTAGTGACAACTGGGTCTCCCCTGCGCTCTGGGGGCTTCCTAGGGCACTGTGGCCCAAGCTTGCCATCTTGGGCGGTGCTGGGCATCAGGGCCTGATCACCCTGTGTGAGCTGCCCAGAGACATCAGGTCATAAGGGAGACTGTGACTTGGGCCCATGGCATCTGTGTCCTGCCCTGTTTTGACCTAGGGGCAGCTAGTCAATGGGTGCCAGGTTCTACCAGGCTGGAGCTTCTCCACATCCCACCACAGAGACCAGAGAGGCAGGCGAGGTCCCGGGGCTGTGAGAGAGTCCCTGCCCAGGTGCAGGGCAGCAGGGGGCGGGGTGGGGTGGCCCTGGGCCACGCACTCTGGCTCAGTTCTCCTTTCATGGGGCGGAGGGCAGACAGGAGTCAGAGGATTGCCTTGTATAATAACAAATTATTTCAGACGGTAACCAGGTATAAGGAAAGCATAACCAACATCCATGCCCTTACTACAAAGTTTTAACAAACATCTGTCCAACCTTCTGTGAACTCATTTGGCCCTGAAGCAGAGAGAGGCTAAGGGATGTGGACCCGCTAGTTAAGTGGGGGGGACCTGGGAAGCAAACCCCACCAAAGTCCCTTCCTCTGTCTCAGGAGCATCAGCCCCGTGTGTTCGCGGTTTGCTGAGCTCTGCGCAGGGGAAGGCAGTGCCAGGCTGTGAACCAGGCACTTCCTGCCTGTTTCCTTGGGTCCCGAGGTGTGGGGCTGGGCATGGGCTCTGGCCACATGGGGCATCAGTGCAGCGCCAGCCTGGGCCACACGGTGACTACACAGCGTTCGTGGGCCCTCCCCATGGGGCACCGGGAGGTGGGCCCTGCCAAGGCCACACTGCAGGTGGCAGAGCAGGCCTGAGCCCTGGCATCAGCACTGACCCTTCTGCTGGGTGGGTGGGGGGGCGGGGAGGGCGGGTTCTGCATGCTCTGACTGGAAAGGAGCACCTTGGGTCCAGGGCCAGAAGGGAGGAACTGAGTCCCGGCAGGTGTGATCCTGGGAGCCGCACAGCTTTGGCGCCTCGGTGGACAGGGAGGGCGTGGCTCTACCAGGGCAAGTGAGGCAGGCGGGATCAAAGGGGCCCGTGCTGGAGGTCTGACTGGGCACGCCCTTCTGGCCCTGCCTGCGCCATCAGCGGCTTGGACATCACTGCTCTTTGTGAGGGGGCTCCAGCAGTGGGCGCCGGGGTGAGGGGGCTCGGCTGGTTTGGGGAGGGTCTGAAGGGGGTGGCCGTGGTGTGGGGATGTTTGGCCCGGACCCTGCTGGGGAAGGGAGAGGGGCCAGGCCTCCCCTCCGAAGCTCCAGGCACTCAGAAAGGGGAGGGGACCACAGCGAGCCCGGGAGCCAGACGCCCACCTCTGCCCCGCCCGGCCCGCCCGTCCACAGGTGGGGTGCTATGGAATATGACGAGAAGCTCGCCCGGTTCCGGCAGGTCCACCTCAATCCTTTCAACAAGCAGCTCGGGCCCTGGCAGCATGAACAGGGGCCTGGCAAGGAGGCCCTGCAGGTCGCTTCTGAAGGTGGGTGCTGGGGGCTGCTGTGCGGGTGGTCTGACCCTGTCACACCGGCCCCCCCTCTACAGGGTTCCTCCCGTGGACACGTGGGGGCCCCCCTCTTCTCTGCAGCACAACCCGCTTTCCATCTGTTGCATCCCCTGGGGAATGAACACTCCCCAGGGCAGGGATGTGTGCCTGTCTTGTCACTGCTGTGTCCCAGGGCCCAGCGCACAGCGGGTGCTCACTTGGAGAACGCTTGGGGCGTGAACTCAGCGCCAAGATCTGGAGGGTGAGAGGTCAGCAGGATGTGAGCCCCGAGACTGCGGATGGAGCCAACGGGGTGCCGGGGGCCCCGGGGGTGTGTGTGTGCAGAGGTGGCCGGTGTCCACACGGGGTTTCACGTGTTCTGGTGTGTAGTGCTCCGGCGGCCCTTCTCGAGCCCACAGATGTACACACGAGGCGTGGGCCTTAGAAATCGGCATGTTTCTGTAGTATTTACTGTTTTTGCACGGCACTCTCCTGTCCGCACAAGGATTCGGGTTCCTTTGCAAGTGCAAACAGGGCCGATGCCAGGGCAGGGCCCTGCTTCCCTTGCCTCCCATGGGCTCCACGGCTTCCTCCTGGGGGTGGCAGGCTGACTCGTCTCTCTGCTGCCCTCCCCAGAGGCCCTGCCCGAGCTGCCCCCGGGAGAGCCAGAGTTCCGCTGTCCTGAGCGCGTGATGGATCTAGGCCTGTCCGAGGACCACTTCGCCCGCCCTGTGGTAAGGTTCAGGGTCTGCGGGCGGGGAGGGGGACAAGGTGAGCCCCCAGAGAGCGAGGAGCCGGCCATGTCCACCTCAGCAGGGGCTCCTGGGCCTGGAATCTGAGGCCTATGTGACACCTGGCTCCCACCCACAAAACGAGTTTGCGGGCCTGTGGGGACGGGCTGGAACTGATGTTGGGAGCCTGGGCTGCTGTTCTGAGCGCCGTTCCCTCCCCTCCCGGGTCCTGTGAAGCAAATGTGAGAGTTAATTCCACCTGGGGTCCCAGGGAATCCTATAGTCATGCTGTAGGGTGAGGGAGAGGACGGGAGAGGGGAAGCCCCCTGCCCACACCCGCTGCCCACTCAGCTAGGCAGGGCCACTCTTGTCTGTGCTATATTTTGTTCCATGGAAATCTTGCTGTTTCTTGTTTTTTTTTTTTTTTTTGTTTGTTTGTTTTCTAATAAAAGGGCTCTAATAATTTTTTTTTAAAGTTTGAAAATCTTCCCGTTTTATGCAAACTATCTCCAACTTTTGAGAGAAACGTTATAGTAACATTCAAATATGATTCTTAAAAAATTCACCTGGAGACCCCAGTTCTCGTCTGCTGTTCATTTTTGTTGTTCATGTGGCCTTTAAGCTTTGCGCTTTGCTGCTGCAGGTACCTATTTCATTTATGTGCTTTGCATCTTTATTATACCATTTCTGAGCCCCTCCTATGGGCCACACACTGGTTTCCAAGAGAGGTGTCACCTCCTCTTTGCCCGGAGGCTCAGTGTACTGGGGGGAGGAGCACGGCTCCTGAGGGCAGTGACACTGCTTTCCTGGGGCAGGATCAGCCCCAGCTCTGAGCCCCGGCCTGTCTCCCTGCCCCTGAGTCTAGGGGCTTTGTTGGGCCCCGCCCCCGGTCCACCTGTGAGGTGCTGGGGCCAGGGGCGGGTGGGTGCCCGGGGTGTCTGTGAGCTTGGTGACCGAACCAGAGGCCACTTCCTCTCGTTGTCGACAGACGAGTGTCATTTCCCGGCTTTCCTCCAAGAGGAAGTTCTGTAGAAGTAAGCGAAATAGCATAGCCAGAAAAGCGATTGGATTTCTAAAAGAGGGAAGTTGTGTTTCAAAAAACATCCTGAATTAGGTCTCCAGAGGCCCGTGGGTGGACAGGTCCAGAGAGGGGCAGGTGGTGTGGTGCGGCTCCTGCCTCTGCTGCCCAGGTTCCCGGGCCTTGAGCAGGTCCTCGGCCACCTGGGCCACCTGGGCGAGCAGGGCCAGGGAGGTCTTCTCTGGGCCCAACTGCCTATGAGGCTGGGCCTGGCCAAAAAGGAGAGCACGCAGGGGGCATCTGACCGTCACTGTCCCCAAACCCGCCACCTCCTGCCTCCACCGAGCAGGGCCTGTTCCTGGCCTCTGACATCCAGCAGCTGCGGCAGGCCATCCAGGAGTGCAAGCAGGTGATCCTGGAGCTGCCGGAGCACTCGGAGAAGCAGAAGGACGCCGTGGTGAGGCTCATCCACCTCCGGCTGAAGCTCCAGGAGCTGAAGGTGGGTGCCGGCCGCCCCCCTCCAGGCAGCTGGAGCTGGGCTGGGGCCCGCACGCCCAGAGGCCGGGCCGCCTCTGGGGCAGCGGGGCTGAGGTTCCACCCTCCGCACCCGACTGGCTGAAGCTACCCAGGCAGGCGGGAGAGAGATGGGCCGCCACCCCAGGTGCAGCCTGTGTCTCTACTAGTCTGATGGTAATCACAGTCCTGAGTCATGTGTCCACCCACTGGAGCAAGTGGGTCAGTTAATCCCACCTTGAACCACGTGACCCAGAGCAGGGGGTGGTTTGCCGAAGGTGACAACAGAAGGGCTTATGGATCCTGGAAGCCAAACACCACAGGGGTCCATCATGTAGTCCTTGAGTCTGTGCCCTGTTTGGCTGGGGCCCCACCGCATCCCTGCACTGGTTCCTGAGTCCCTGGGAATATAGAAAGTGGAATGTTCATTAGAATATAGGTAAGGCTATGGCACGAGCTAAGACACCCCCAAATACAGTGGCTTAAAGGAATTGGTTGTGTCGTTTTACTCATGTGGAAATGTTGTAGGTGGCCCAGGGCCCATCTGGCAGCTCTTGGTATCGGAGACCTCAGATCCTCCTTTTTCGGTGCTCTGCCAGTCCCTGGCAAGTCCACGACAGCCCCCCACTGCCTCTGGGTCTGCACCCAGCCAGCAAAAACAGTGTGGGAAGGGCAGCGAAGGCCCTTTCACCCCTGCTTACGTGCCGCCGGGGCAGCACCTAGGTACAAAGGTAGTCTGTAATCTGGGTGGTCCCGGCCTGACCAATCACTGTGTTCTATTGTAAGGGAAGGGCTGTGGCACTGGGGTAAATTTCACAACCTCTGCTACACGTGGTTACCTGGGAGACGCAGTCAAGGGGCTCGTGTGATGGGAAAAGAGCTGCTGCCTGGCTCACCTGTGACCCCTCCCTGGCCCCCTCCCCAGGACCCCAGTGAGGATGAGCCCAACATCCGAGTCCTTCTCGAGCACCGATTCTACAAGGAGAAGAGCAAGAGTGTGAAGCAAACCTGTGACAAGTGTCACACCGTCATCTGGGGGCTCATTCAGACCTGGTACACCTGCACAGGTGGGCAGAGACCAGACTGCTCCTTCTGGCCTGGCACTCCAGGCCCCAGGGGAGGGGGAATTCTCTGCTGTGTTTTCGGTATTTACTGAGCCCTGTGGCGTGGGGGGGATGGGAGGTAGAGCAAGGGATGAAAGACCCAAATACCTGCCTTCACCAGGCTCACATCCACTAGCCATGCGTGGCTATTCGAATTTCAATTAATTAAAGTAAATAACTAGTTGCTCAGTGGTACCATGCACATTCCAAGTACACAATAGCCACATGAGGCTGGTGGCCACCCATTGGACAGTGCAGACAGGACGTTTCCATCATTGCAGAAAATTCCATTGGAGGTCCTGTTCTGGATGAAAAATCAAATAAATAAATGAAATGGTATGTTAGACAATGGTATGTTATGTAAGCAGCGACAAGGGGCTGCTCTGGGTGCCTTTTCACTTCCCCCCCGGGCAGAGTGAGGTTGCCACGTGTGTGAAAAAGAATAAGGAAAGGGACTAGTATGTGTTGGGGAGGGGGATGGGTGCTACGTTAGGGTGAAATGAAAAGGCGTCATGTGACACTTAATAAAAAACTTGGAGGTTGGGGGCAAACCAGGAGTATATCTAGGAAGGAACATTTCTTCAGGGGAGCTGTCTGTGCAAAGGCCCTGTGGTCAGTGTGTGTCCAGTGTCTTCGAGGAGAAGCAGAGAGCAGTGTGGCTGGAGCACTGTGTCAGGGAGGAGGCATGGTAGAGGTGGGCTCAGAGGTGGCTAGAGCCTTTTGCGTAAGTGCACTGGGGCCACGGGTGAGTGCAGGACATACTTAGGTTTTAACTCCGGCTGCTGAGCTGAGCGTGGCCTGAAGGAGGGAAAGTGATGGACTGTGACCAGGGTGGGGCATTCGGATGAGAAGGGGCCAAGTGCAGCCCTAGCTGAAGGACTGGGATGACGTCTCAGTAGGTGGAAAGATGGAGGCACTGAAACCTGAGCTGGGAAGACTGGGGTGGGATTGGTAAGGAAGAGCTGGATTCCACCCAGACAGCTTGGGTTTGAGCCCTTTACGCACCCAGATGGGAATGGCAGGTAGGCCCCTGGCCCTTTGAGTATGGAGTTGTGGGGAAAGGTCTGCACGTACCTTCAGGGCAAGACTTGGGTGGGGACTGAAGGGACCTTTGACATTTGGGAACCTGCCTTGGTGCCTGGAGAGGCTCTTGCGTTGGTCTGGGAATCGGAGTACAGGCCCCTGGGGGTCCCGGCAGCTGAAGGTCAGCCTGGGCCGCAGGGTGACCACCCTTCTAAGAGGCACGTTGTCGGGCCCCCAACCAGGGTGTTATTACCGCTGTCACAGCAAGTGTTTGAACCTCATCTCCAAGCCCTGCGTGCGGTCCAAAGTCAGCCACCAGGCCGAGTATGAGCTGAACATCTGCCCCGAGGCAGGGCTGGACAGCCAGGATTACCGCTGTGCTGAGTGCCGGGCACCCATCTCTCTGCGTGAGTGCCCCGGGGAGAGCAGGGCACAGGGCGGAGGGGAGCTGCCTGGGCCAGGAGCCCTGCCGACAGCTGTATGAGAAACTTGGGTGCGTGCGATGGCTAAGGGTAGCGTGACTCCGGGGCACGAGTCCTGCTCCGTTCCTGGGGGAGCACAAGGGGCTGCTCTGGGTGCCTTTTCACTTCCCACCCGGGCAGAGTGAGGTTGCCACGTGTGTCCCCTAGGAGTCCCTGCGGGGCTGGGCTGCACTCAGCCTCCCATGTGTGGCCCCATTGTCACAGAAAACCCACCTCGATGGGGAAATCCCGCAGCAGTCGCTCACAGGCTATGTATCGGGCCTTCTTCCCAGAAACATACTGCCTCTGGCAGTCGCCTGGCGGGAGTCCTACTATTGTCCCATTTTACTGGTGAGAAACAGGGAAGCAGGGAGGCCTAGAAGACGAGTCGGGTGTGGAAGGTGGAACCCTTGGCCCCGCTGGTTCTCGTCCTGTGTGCTGTGGGCGCAGCTGGGGGAGGGACCTCGCAGGTCTCCCAGACTTTGTAATGCTTTCCCTCTCCACAGGGGGTGTGCCCAGCGAGGCCCGGCAGTGCGACTACACCGGCCAGTACTACTGCAGCCACTGCCACTGGAACGACCTGGCCGTCATCCCAGCGCGTGTGGTGCACAACTGGGACTTCGAGCCGCGCAAGGTGGGCGGGGAGCGCAGCGAGGTGGAGCGAGGGGCACGGCCCTGGGGTACAGCTCCCGCTGGCTGGAGATTGGGTGGGGGAGGGGGCGTGGCCTGGGGCGTGGCGCCGGAAGTGTCGCGCCCCCCCCCCCCCCCCCCCCCCGCCCCCGCAGGTGTCCCGCGGCAGCATGCGCTACCTGGCGCTGATGGTGTCGAGGCCCGTGCTCCGGCTCCGGGAGATCAACCCTCTGCTGTTCAACTATGTGGAAGAGCTGGTGGAGATCCGGGTGAGGCTGGGGAGGGGGCGGGCGTGGGGCTACCCTGCTCCCCCTGGGGTGTGGTGGATCGGAGAGATGCCGCCTGCTTAGCTGGGCCCCGCCCCTGTCCTTTAAGTTAAAGTCGCTAAAGCAACTGTCCAGCCACGATATGAAATACAACACAAGGATCAGAGGCAATCTGAATTTTTCTAGTAGCCACATTAGAAAAAAATAAGAAGCAGGTGAAGTTCATTTCAGTGATGTAGTTTATCTAACCCAACCTATCGGTGTACATTATGGAGATACACTGCACTGTTTCTCTTTCTTGCGCTAGTCTTTGCGTCCCAGTGTGTATTCTCCACTTAACCACGTCTGTGTGCTCAGGTGCTGGACGCACCTGAGAGTGGTGGGGGCCACTCTCTTTGCCATTCAGCAGGAGGCCGGGGTGGGGCACGGGCAGGTGAGGGTGCCTCAGGCTGGTGCTGAGAGGGGTGGGGCTTGAAGGGGAGCGGGCTGAGGCACGGCAGGCTGAGCTGCCGAGATCCCGGGCTGAGGAGGGGTTTGACTGGTCAGTCTCCATCGATGGAGGCAAGCTCAGATGCGCCTGAGGTGTGTGTGCACGTGTGGAGCTGGGCTCGGGGGAGAGACTGCGGACGAAGGAACCTCAGGGTCCTCCGGCCTGGCCGAGAAGCTGTGGCTTGAACTTGAGCTTGGCTGGAGCGCTCAGATCCGGGGCTGTGCTGGGGGACGGGAAGGTACCTCCTGTCCCCTACTGACCCAGAGCGTAAGGTGACATGAGTTCCTACAGAGCCAGAGCAGGGCCAGCCCCTCCCCCACAGACACACCAGGCACAGCCCATGCCCCCACCAGGGATGCCCACCGGCCCCTCTCGTCCACAGAAGCTGCGCCAGGATATCTTGCTCATGAAGCCGTATTTCATCACCTGCAGGGAGGCCATGGCGGCACGCCTGCTCCTGCAGGTCAGCCCGCCTGCCCCGGGGGTGGGGGGAGGGGATCTGTCGGGGAGGGCGGGGGGGGGGGGGGGAACAGACCAGGGCCGTGGGGGGATGGCTTGATGCCTTGCGTGTGTTGTGCTGTTAGCAGAAGGTCTCCACACTGTCACCGGGAACACTAGGTCTGCCGTAAACAAACAGGCATTGTACCCACAAAAACCTGCTCTGATTCCATCCCCGTGAGGGGCGCTGAGAGGAGCGGGTCTCATCCTGCAGCCTTCATGGGAGTCTCCATGGAGTGGACCAGGCACGGGCCAGCCCAGGAAGGGCTGACCACGAAACACTTTTCAAGGCTTACCTGTTTGTTCTACAAATACTCACTGGGTGCCTGCTGCAGGCAGACAGCGTCTGGGTCCTGGGGGGCAGGGAGCAGAGCAGTGCCCTTCGGGTGGGCAGAAAAGAAAAGTAGGAAGCAGCGTGGCGGGGGTTGGCGAGGTGTGTGGATGAGATACAGTGGGGAAGTGGGCCCAGCTGCAGCGCGAGGGCGCTGGCCCGCCACCGGGGTCACGCTGGCTGGGCCCGCAGCTCCAGCACCGGCAGCACTTCGTGGAGAGCGACGAGATGTACTCCGTGCAGGACCTGCTGGACGCGCGCACGGGCCGCCTGGGCTGCTCGCTGGCGGACACCCACACGCTGTTCGCCAAGCACATCAAGCTGGACTGCGAGGTGGGCCCCCCCGCGGGCCAGGTGGGGAGGGCGGGAGGGGGGCTCTGGTGGACGTGCCCCCCACCCTGGGAGCGGGCACTGACCATCCCGCCTCGCCACCAGCGGTGCCAGGCCAAGGGCTTTGTGTGTGAGCTCTGCAGAGAGGGTGACGTGCTCTTCCCCTTCGACAGCCACACGTCGGTGTGCGCCGACTGCTCCGCCGTCTTCCACAGGTTGGTGCTTGAGACCCTGACCCCCGACCCCTACGCTGACCCCCAACCCCCTCCGATAGACACGGGGAGAGGGAGGGAGGGAGACACTGGGGCTTGATCTTCGCCGCCGGGTTTCAGATCTCTTTGCCTTGATCCTGAGATGTGGACTTAGACCCTGATGGTGAGACTCAGCTGAAGTTCCGCTGGGAAGAAGCCCCCGTGGGCTGGGGAGGGGTGGGCAGCCCAGACCCCGCGGGTGCGCACGTATCCGGCTGGCTTCCCTCCTCCACCGGGACTGAGGTTTAGCTGAGGCCAGGGCTTCCTAAACTTCTTAGCTCATGTGATTTTTTTTTCAAACGTTCCCTAGACCACAAGAAATACCTAACATTTTTGTGTATTAAGTACTTAGGTTCAAACAACTTAAGCATTTATGTCCTAAAGACTTGTGGATGTTTGGAAGAAAGATATTTGAATTTGTTAAGCACAGTTACCAATAGGCGTGCGCCTGCTGGGCCCACACAGCTTCTCACACTGGGCTCAGATGGGACCCCGCCACCCGTTTCAGTCCACACTGGTTTTTCCTGGCACTTGATGTTCCTCAGAGCCACCGCCGACCTCATAGGTCTGCAGAGCTGGGATTGTGGTTGCAGTGACTATAGCAGAAGCTGTTGTTAAAACCATGAGCTCCCTCGAGCTAGCAGTTTGCATGGTGTCTGTCCTGTCAAATACCGCTATGCCCCCTTCAAACATTTAAACTGCCGTGGGGACCGTGTGCATCTCCACAGAGCCCTGAGTGGAGGCTCTGCACGGCAGTGGGGACAGGTCGGGGGTCACTGAGCTCTGAGCAGAACCCTCCCTGTCACAGGGCCACAGGCAATAGGTGTGGAGCCGTTAGGAAGGGCCCGCACACAGGGACAGGACAGCAGGCCTGGCAGGCACACCTGGGTGCATCCTTCTGCACTGACCCTTTGGGAGAAACTCTGCTTCAGTTTTCCCGTCCGTCTGGGGGGATACTGGGACCTGACTTAAGGAGCTTGTGAAGACTCGGTGGTAGATGTCTACGTGCAGGGAGCCATGTCCCTTCCCGGGCTGACCCTGTCTCCCTGCCCCCAGGGACTGCTACTACGACAATTCCACCACGTGCCCTAGGTGTGCCCGCCTTACCTTGCGGAAGCAGTCACTCTTCCAGGAGCCTGGTCCAGACGTGGACGCCTAGAGCAACGGAACCCCTCGTGGGCCTGTCTGGGGCCCGCCCTGCCAGTCGTTGCCGAAGTCAAGGTGTTTCTTGTGCTCTGGAGACCCTAGGCTACAGCCCCTGGACCTCTCCCCAGCACCTCGGGGACGATGGTAAGCTCTGGGGGATGACTGGCCTCGTGGGGCATCACAAGGACCATCATCCCCTAGCGCTTACCGGGACTTGGGGCAGCCACGCCTGGCTGTTTTCCGGGTGCTGTGTGGGCCAGGATGTGCACCGCCTCCCCGAACTGCAGAGCTTTAAGGGGAGGGGAGTGGGGGAGGGATTCTTCTCATCTCCCCTTGGCCAAGAGCCCCCCACACCCTTGGGACCAAGGCTGCTGGGCCTGGGCCACCCTGGAAATCCTGGAGGGCTTCCGGGGAGTGGCCGACAAGACTGAGGATGCCAGCTGCACACACTCAGCCTTGGCCTGAGTTTTATCTGCGGTGGATGGTTTGGGTTCTACGTGGAGGCTCCCTCCCCCAGCCCCTTGTCTCTCTGGGGACCTCTGGTTGTCCCTGGCTGGGGCTGTTCATAACTATCTCCCAAGGGCCCTGCCCCTGCCTCCCACCAGGGTTCTCTCTCTGGGTCCTCCTCTGGCGGGCCAGTCCAAGGGTTACTGGCTTTTTCTACACAACGTGGAAGGAAGGGGCCATCTAGCTGTCACCGCTGGGTGGACTGGCCGCCGCTCCTGCCTTGGCCCAGCCCAGCTTACCCTGGTGTTCCAAGCTGGGGGGCTGGGGGTCCCACCCAGAGAGGCTGCCCTGCTTCCAGGTGTGGAGCAGGGACTGTGCCCCCGGGGGAGGTCAGGGTTAGGTGAGAGGGCTGGTGACAGTAGGCCTGGGACCCAGTGTGCCGAGGAGCTGCGTCCTGCCACCACGGTGCCTGCCTGCAGAGGCCTCGGAGACTCCGACCGGGGGCCTTCTGTTTGGGGGCCTGAGGTCAGGCGCCGGAAATCTTTGCTCCAGCAGAGGGAGCCCGGGATGCAGGACTGACCCCCAGCTATCCAGTGGGGGAGCTGCGTTTGCTGGGACCCTTGGGAGACCCTGCCGTCCAGGGGAAGGCCCGTGGGAGGAGGACGTCTCAGGACACGGCTGCACAGTTCTGCCCTCCTCCCTGCCCTGGAGTGTGCTGACTATTGACGCACAGGTGGGCGGTGGGCAGGGGGTACAGCCACCGGGGCGTCCATCACCTTTGGGAAGCCCGAGCAGAGGCTCGGCCAGCAGAAAGGAAAGGCCAGCCTAGTTAGCTGGTGGGCCGATGTGGGCGGTGGGTAAAGACAGCGCCACCCCCTCCTCACCCCTCTGCACCCCAGGGAAGCCCTGTCCGGTGGCTTTAGGCGATCCCCTCCTTCTGTGCTGAGCACAGTGGGAGGCTGGCCCCCATCGGGACCCCTTTCTTCTCGGGGTTGAGCGGGGGTTAAAGGCTAAATGCCCTCTTCCTACACCCCAGACCTGCACACGTCTCACCGCAGCATCGCATTTCTGTCATAAGGATATTGGCTGTCCCCGAATTTACCATGTCATCAGCACGCTATTCCAGCTACTATCACTGTGTCCACAAGAAACGTTAGTAGCTGCCATTTGTTGGGCAAAGTTGGCTCTTTTTTTTTTTTTTTTTTTTAAACTACCCCCATTACCTCTGCCCCATCTCCCCCTTCTGGATGACAAATTCTTTAAGCAGAATCATGTGTGGGTCTTTCTGGGTCCAGCTCATGGCAGCAAGAACCCACCAAGGAACCAGTTAGCATGGGCAGGCCCTCCCAGGAGAGCTGTGTAATGGGCTGCAACCCCTGTCTCACTAAATCTGTGTTCTCCAGACCGTGGTGTGTGTGCTGAACTGGGGACAGGGCAGGGTTTGCTTGACATATGAATCAAACACAGGTTTAGCCACAGCCCACAGCCCTCCCCATCCAACGGGGTTGTCTGTAATCTGGGCATCGTGCCTAGGCCTCAGTGTGCTGACCCCTCTAAGAGGCACTAAAACACATCCCTGGTGGGGCTGTTTGGGTGCCAGGAAGCGCCAGGCACAGCCTGGCACACGGAGAATGCTCAGTGAGTAGAAGCTACGTCTTCTCTGCATAACCCTCCCGGTGGAAAGACTGTCTCGTTAATGCACTGTGAGTAGTGCAGGCCCCAGGTCCAGCTCCTGGGAGGCTCTCGCGTCTTCACAAGCTGGACCCACTGACAGGGCCCTTGGACTTCAGGAGAACCCTACACCCCCTCCCAAATTACATTCAAACCTCTGTGTATGTACATTGCTCTAGAGATATGAGCCCTGGTTTTGACCAGGATCTCAAAGAAAACATCAGGAATGTGCTTGAGAAGGTGCCTTTATCCAGCTACATCCAGACAGGCTGGGAGACAGCAGCCCTATGGCCGAGGAGACCTGAGAGCTCGATGGGGGCACAGGCAGAGGGTGGGGGAAAGGCGTGTGAGGGGGTCCGTGGGCCTGGTGCTGGCACCCCCAGCTTCAAACAGGTAAGGCTGCACGTGGGCATCACAGGACGCAGCCTCCACCCACCCCCTTCAGGTATGAAAGAGTACTTCCTTTTAACCTTTTAGTTTTGACAAATTTAGGTTTACAGAAGTGTTGCAGAAACACTCCCAGGTACCCATCTCCTGGATTCCATAAATGTTAACATCTCGCCCCATTTGCTTCATCCTTTGTCCATACTCTTGTGAACCGTGTGGCAGTTAAGGTGCCCCTTTGCCTCTAAGTAACTCGTGTGTTACTCCCAAACAAGGACGCTGCCTTCCACGGCTGCGGTGCGGTCATAACATCAGGAAGTTGACATTGATTTGGGAACATAAAACCTACAGCAAACCGTATTCAGATTTTGCCATTCAGTTGCCATGTCGTTTTAGCTTTTAATCTGGAAGGGTTCATGACACTGACATTGAAAAGCACAGGCTAGGGACGTCCCTGGTGGCGCAGTGGTTAAGAATCTGCCTGCCAATGCAGGGGACATGGGTTTGAGCCCTGGTCCGGGAAGCTCCCACATGCTGTGGAGCAACGAAGCCCATGTGCCACAACTACTGAGCCTGTGCTCTAGAGCCCGCGAGCCACAAGTACTGAGCCTGCGAGCCACAACTGCTGCTACTGTGGCAGCACAACAACTGAAGCCTGTGTGCCTAGAGCCCCTGCTCTGCAACAAGAGAAGCCACCGCAATAAGAAGCCCGCGTGCCACAAGGAAGAGGAGCCCCCGCTCACCACAACTAGAGAAAGCCCACGTGCAGCGATGAAGACCCAACGCAGTCAAATAAATTAATTAAAAAAAAAAAAAAAAGGAAAAGCACAGGCTAATTATTCTGAAGACTTTCCTTCAGTGTGGGTTTTTCTGATTGGATTTGGGCTTTGCACTTTTGGTGGGATTTTCACAGAAGTGATGCTGTGTCTGTAGTGTGTCATCTGTCCTCCTCCTGGAGATGCTTTGGTCCCCCTGTCTCCTGTGTCCTTTTGACATGTTCCTGGCATTCTTTAGGCATTTGCTTCCTTTCCAGCGTAGCAAGGTATTCCAGGCTTATTCTGTAATTTCCCCAGTCCCAGCCCTGGAACCAGTCATGTTTCTGAGGAGCCCCAGAACCTTCTGGTGGAGCATGGCACTCAGGAAACAAGATGTGGTTGTTGGTTACACTCATGGCTGGGGTAGGAAATAGTAGCGCATGTCCATTTCCTTATTGGTCTATAAACATATTAAAAACCATGAGTTTACACTGATACTTCCAATTTCAAAACAACACAAGAGTCATTCTTCCCCTTTTTCATATTTGCAATTCCCTTGCTTGACAGTGAGACACCCGGCTCCATTATCCATAATATACTTATTTGCTCAATCCTAGAGTACACACAAAGCACCTTCGGCATTGCTCACCTATGCTGGTGAAAAACAAGGCTACTAACAAGCGTTTAATATTTGTTTAGATTCTTTTTTGTCTCTAGTCTGAGGGCATATAGTCAAAATAAGGTGTTTAAAATTTATTTGGGTGTTTCTCCCCCTTCGTTGTGGATACGCAATTCATGCGCAACACAGTTCCGTTCATATACTCCACTGTTTTATTTCCCTCCCCTTGTTTACTTTTGTTTGTGCAATATGTTAACATGGTTCCCCAATCAGAACTTCCCAAAAGGTACAAAAGTTACATTCCCCCCCCCATAACCAATCTCTTTAGTCTCCGGTTTCTCCTTCCTGTGTTTCTTTTCGTACAAGAGTAAGATACGTGTGTATTTTATTTTCCCTTCTTTCTTCCACAAAAGGTAGCACACCCTATTCTTGCACGTTGCTTTTTTTCAATTAATAATATATCCTGGAAACCACTCCACATCAGCTGAGTTCTTCCTTATTTTACTATTATGGTAGCTATCACCATTTACAACTGTCTTACATTCCACCGTGTGGAAGTGCCATTTTATATGTGACTATTTCACTCGAGACTCTTCAGGCTGTTCCGTAGCTCTTGCAGTTACAAACAAGGCTGCAACAAATAATCTGTGCACATATATTTTCTTTTGTTGTCAGTGTATCTTTAGGGTATAATCCTAAAAGTGGGATTGCTAAATCAAAAGAAATGTATTTTTCACTAGTGTTCAATGCCCCTCGGTAAGGGATGTGCAAACCTGCACTCTCACCAGCAATGAATGAGGGTGCCAGTAACGCCACAGCCACACCAAGAGAATGTGCAGTCACACTTTTTGATCACTGCCGATCTGAATGATGAGAAATGGTATCTGTATAGCTTTCATTTGCATTTCTCTTGAGGTCAAGCTTACGTTTCAGGATCTAGTTTACTTATTTATGAATTCTATGTTTTGCCCACTTTTCTATTGGATTTTTGGTATTCTCAATCTTTAACAGTCCTTCACTGATCAGGGATATTAGCCCATTATCTGTGAGAAATTTTCTTCCAGTGTGTCATCTGCCTTTGACCTTGTTTGTATTTTATCCTCATAGAAAAGTTTTGTTTTGTTACCTTTTCATATGGTTAAACCGATTAATCTTAAATTTCCTCTGGATTTTGAGTCCTAGAAAATCTTCCCAACACCCATGTCAAAGACATTCATCCATGTGTTTTGTGGTACTTGCATGGTTTCAATTTTTCCATTTAGATCCCTCATCTGTTTTATTCTTGTGTATGCTGTGAGTTATGAATTAACTATCTTTTGCCAAATTTTAACCAGCTGTCCTGCACTATTAAAAAAAAAAGCCTATCTGTATCTATTTCTGGACTTTCTATTGTATTCTACAGGTCTGAATACCTCCCTGATTCAATCAGAGAGGTTTTATAGTGTGCTTTAATGTCTCCTTTTGTTGTCAGTGTCTCCTTGTAGTTTGTTTTAAAAAACTTTTCCTGGATTTTCTTTCATTCAATCTTCTTAAAGCACATATTTAGGTAAAATTTTAATGCCAAAATTGATGCTCTTAAGTGTCAAAATGAAAATACCAGAAGCAGGGTTTCCAGGGATGTTAAACACCTGAAAGCAGAGGCTTGGCTGGGCCTCACCCAGGAGGTCACCCTGTCGCGTCTGGTCACGCACCGAGTCGCCTAGGAGAGCTGCCTTGAGCGCCACTCCTTCTCACTGTACAGGTCCCTGTAGCAGCTTATTGCATCGTTGATTGCTCTCGAAACTTTCAGGTTCCACGCATCATCAGGGCTGTTACTGGTAAGGACCTGCAAGCCGGCCTCGAAATGTGAGAAGGCTGCTGACAGCTCCCGTGTGGTTAGTTGGCGCAGGGCAGGTGCAGCCTCTTCACCCTCCTCCTCCTCTCCTGCCGGTTCCTGCTCCAGCTGCACCAGCTCCTCATTTGAGAGACCCTCCTCGTGGGACTGCAGCAGCTGGTCCACGTCAGCTTCTCCCACCTCTCCAAGGGCCACACTCTTGGCAAGGGTCACAATATTTTGTTGAAGCTGGGCAATGTTGTCTGTTTGGGAAACACTCTGGAACTGAACACATTCGGGCCAAATCTTCTTCCACACACTGTTCATTGTTGCTGCCCTGAGCTCCTCCCAAGCTATTGCAATGTTGTCCACGGCATCCATGATGCTGTACTTTCTCCAAAACTCCCTGATCTCAGCTGTATCGTCCCCATCTGTTGCTTCTAGGATGTGCTCAAAAGTCCTTCTCAGGTAATGAGCTTTGAAGGTAGAGGCCACACCTTGACCCATGGGCTGGATGGAGTCAGCTGTATTGTCATGAAGATATTCCACTCTTACATTATCAGACAGATCGCTCAAATTTACTGGGTGGCATGGTGCATTGTCTAAGATGAGCAGTGCTTTGTTGGTGAGATTATTTTGGGCACAGTATTTTTCAATGGCAGGGCAAAAAAAGTATGTGAACCACTCATGAAAGATGCTCCTGGTTGCCCAGGCCTTTTTATTGGAGCGCCAAATCACAGGCAAATTGGGCTTGGAGTACCCCTCCAGAGCCTTGGGGTTTTCTGAGTGGTACACCAATAAGGGCTTCAACTTAAAGTCCCCAGCTGCATTGCCGCCAAGCAGCAGCATCAAGCGATCTTTGGATGATTTAAACCCGGGCTCAGCTTTCTCTTCTACCGAAATAAACGTTCTTTCAGGCATTCTTTTCCAATAAAGCCCTGTCTCATCTACATTAAACACTTGCTGGGGGGTGTACTCACCTTCTTGGATGATGCTTTTCAGGATTTCTGGATATACATCCTCCTTACCAGGAGCCGCACTGCTCATCTTGAAGTGGGGCAAACAGTGGCGTTCCTTGAATCTCACAAACCACCCTTTACTTGCACTGAACTTTGCTGTTTGAGAGCGCTCCCCTTGTTCACGCTGTAAGTCATCAAACAAA